TGACTTTCTCCTTGTGATCTTCGTGATCCTTATGATATTTGACCCTTGTAACATTCAACCTTTGAGAAATTTAATCATTCCCTTGTGACCCTCGTGAAATTTGATCATCTCCTTGTGACCCTTGTGCAGCTTAACACTCGTGGAATTTGACTTTCTCCTTGTGATCTTCGTGATCCTTATGATATTTGACCCTTGTAACATTCAACCTTCGTGAAATTTAATCATTCCCGTGTGACCCTCGTGAAATTTGACCATTGCCTTGTGATCCTCATGAAGTTTGACGTTACGTTAATATAGGGTCACAAGGAAATGCAACGTTCAAATATGTTAAGGATAATCGGGCGAGCCCGGAGGGTTAGAAAAAAAGCAACCATTTTTCTCTTTTATTTTTTACGTATTCTTTAAATGATGGAAAAGGCGTGTGCAAAGTTTCAGACTGCTGGGGAACATGGTCAATTTATTATGAATTTTTGAAAAAGTGGTCATTTAACCCGTGATCTTATGGAAATCACAAAAAAAACTGCAAAACCCAAGGAAAAAAAGGAACCAAAGTCATGAAACTTTAGACACATTTAGAACATGTGATCAATGATTTTTTGAGTGAAAAAGATTGTCGCCTAGGAGCATTGGTTATTAATAATAGCAAAAAAAGTACTAAAAAATGAAATTTCTGCGCACGCAGCCCAAGCGAGCAGCAACGTCTCAAGTACCGATCGGGTGGGGGTAGCGCGGTCAATTTAAACGTCTCTCGAGAGAGAGCGATGAAGCGTTGTGATTGGAGCTCCCTCGAGCCAGTAGTATCAGCTCCTGGTGAAAAAAAAAACACTACCGACGATGTTGCCACTTTTCCGCATGGATTAATATTTTTTCATTTATTAAAAAAAAACAATCTGAAAACCATTCAATGAGTGGAACAGATAGAAATAAATTTGATTAGCTCCAAAAATAATTTTTAACCGGAGATACTCACTAATATTGCCTGCATTTTGAATCCGAATGGGAAAAATTTTTTTGTTCAGCGTTTGGTTTTCTGCAGGAAAACAATAGAAACCCCTCCGCCTCACCTCCTACATTTCCTCCTCGCCCGATTATTCCATATAATATGCTATAGTTTTTGTAATTGTATTGTCGTTGATTACAGCGAAAATAAAATCCTAATTTGACTGGCCTACATACATAAAATAGCACAAACTCGACACAAATTCAACTGCATTACCGGCGTAAATTCACGTACTATGCTGCAGATGCCGCATTATGATCGAAAGAGTAACACTAGCAACTCGAACGCATTTCGACAGCCATTATTCCATAAGAAGGGTGCGCCGCTGAGGCTCCTCTCTATTTTCCATGGGCGATCAGAGGGAAACAGGCAACAAACAAGAGAGACAACCAGATATTCGTATAGGTTATGTGCAGCAGCAAGAGATCAGTAATAATTAGATTACGGGATTAATAGTAATTACGGAGATTACGGCCAAACCACCTGGTGAAAATCCTCTCAAATAACCTGGGCAAAAATCCTGTAAAACTACCTGGGAAAATTCAGGAAAATTTCCTGAAACCAAATATGACAATAATCTTCAGGTGGAAAGTCTGGATTTTCCCAAAGAATAACTCAAGAAATAAGTATGCCCATATGGGCCTCTGAAACCAATGGAAGAGAGAACGAGAATAGTAATTGTTCAGTCCCTCTCGCTCTTGTCCCTTCAAAAGCACATAATTGTATCATATTCCTATCCTACCCGTGGACCATACATTCACAGAATTTCATTTTCACGTCAACCAAACCTCCAAATTTTTTGACATTTTATTAGTTTGTTTAGTTCCAATTACTTTTCCATTTTTTTTATGTACGGCACCCCCTATAGAGTTAGGAGAGCGAAATAAAACGCGGGGTAGCTTCTTGGGTCCCAATGACTCAAAAAAAGATGATGACCGCTGGAAAATTGCCAATGGTCACCACCATACCTGAAACCTCAGCACATAAAGTTCTGAGACGAAGCGAGTCATGGGATCATGTCCTTCAGGCACATCAATTCAACGTGCAGATTATGCTTACTAGCCAAATGGAGTACGGAAATTTCTAGTGTCTTTTTTTTATCATTATTTTACATCGCTTCGACCCGGTTAGGGTATACTCCGACGATGATGAAGACTTTAAATGGTTACATCGCACCATTCTACCCGGCCGGGATTTGAACTCGGAACCTTTCACATGTGAGGCAACGATTTAAATATAATAAACTATGTGAGGCAACGATATAAATAAAATAAACTGTACATTATAGGAAAATATTATTATAAATTATAGGAAATTATCGCGAAACTCATAAACGGTAGTCTGCTGGGTTCCAACGGATGAGTCAAGCCACAGGGATCAAATGGCCGAAATAAATATATGCCGGTTTCCAAAATATATTAGGTGTGTAAATATGACTCCGCCCTTTCCCAACAGATGTCGTTTTTAGTATTGCTTACGTGCACTAATAAATGGCAACACTTGTATTCGATAGTAATTTATATCAGCTGTCAAACGCACTACGTGACATTTGGTTGAAATGTAAGCAACAAGTGTTTTTACCTCCGTGACAATGTCGGTTTTCGTTCCAAGTAAACATCATTTGCGGGAAGTGTTATTACACTATTATATTGCAAAAAAAAGTGTAGCGAAAACTCATCGTTTGCTTGTGGAGATTTACGGTGAGCATGCTCCATCTAATACAACTTGCAAGAAATGGTTTCAACGATTTCAAAATAATGATTTTGGCACTGAGGACAGAGAACATGGAAAACCACAAAAAAAAATTGTAGATGCTGAATTGGAGACATTATTGGCAGAGGATTCTTGCCAAACTCAATCAGAATTGGCTGCTGCATTAAATGTTGAATGATCAACTGTTTCAAAGCGTTTAAAAGCAATGGGAATGGTTCAAAAAGTTGGTAACTGGGTTCCATATGAATTGAAAGAAAGAGACATGGAACGTCGAAAAACAATTTGTGAAATGCTACTTGTAACGAGATTTTCTCGTTACGGGTTGAAATCCCTTCAAAAAGATAATTGAACTCTCAAAATTGTTGAAGAGAGATAAGTAGTGACACCTAGAAGCGGCTGAAGAAAGCCGGGGCTAGGTGAGATAAACCACAAACCAATGAAAGACCTAAGGCATAGCGGTTATGGGTGAAACCGCGACCCCTGGAGGTCTGGAGGGCGTACTAGACTATCGCCGTATTAGAATTCACCCAGCATGTGCTAGGGGAAACGGGGCCGACGTACAGGCCGTCCAACTGGGCGATTCTATAGGCTATGTCGGAGTAGGCTAGGGACCAACGGCCAGGTGAAAGGACTGGTACCTCCGTGATCCCGTCGGGTTGATTGGTGGGGATAGGGTAACGGAATGACCTATCGTCGCCGAGATATCCAGACTAGGAGGCAAGGCCCTAGTAAGATTCCGAGTTAGTCGCACGCGAGCGCTTGAACCGAGAGGTTGAAATAATCTCTCGGTGTGCTGGAAGTGGTGGATGGCTGAAGAAGCCATGGTAAGGAGTTTACTCAGCGTAGCCTGGTGCATAACTGTGGCGGCGAATATAGGGGGATGCCCCTGCATCCCCCGCGCGTAAATCTGAGTTATTTCGGAACGCGAGGTGACGACTTCGTCGTGTTCGGCGTCATCTAGTCTCGGCGGAACGATTCGAGGCGTATGGGCCCGTGGGCCTGGAGTCGAGAAATCCTCCTGTCGGTCCGACCATGCGCCGACGGTCTAGTACTACCCGGAGGCAGTGACGCGCGATGACCAAAGCGGTAACTGGTGGTGGAGAGAGTGGGTGATCGTAGCGTGGGTAACGTAGTTCCACCCTGGTCAGATCAGCCTCTCCACGTCCCAGGCTCTGAGGAGTCCCGGCTGAATCGCAGGTAGCTCGGAAACTCTCCCGAGTAGAAATACTTGGAGAGAGGAAGCATGCCGGAGGAGTCGAGAGACCCTCCGGAGGAAAGATGAATCCCATTCAGTAGGGAACTGGTGCCGCGAGGCATAATTCACGGCTTGCAAAGGCCGTGGAATGGGACGGTAATACTCCTGGTGGACCTCGCCCACTCTACCGTATCACGCTGATGTTAGCTGGGCAACCCATTGTCCAGCCAAAAAGTCCTCTGAGTGGACGAGTTTGCCTCAGAGGCCGGTTTTCGTCGAACCTCCCGTGAAGGTTCGGCTGGCGCCCGACTATTGAGCGATAGAGACGGCTAAAAAGTAGTTTGGATTTTTCCTGGGTGAACAACCCGGGAAAATATCCTTACATACTTCAAAGACAGCAAAGAAAAGGATTTCTGCATCGAATAGTCACAGGAGATGAAAAATGGACATATTATAAAAATCCTAAACGCCAAAAAGCTTATGTGAAGCCAGGTGAACCCAGTCCATCCCAGCCAAAAAGAAATATTCACAGTGCCGAGGTTATGCTCTGCATTTGGTGGGATCAGAGAGGTGTTATATATTATGAGTTGCTCGAACCCTCTTAAACTATTAATGGGAAGTTTACCGACGACAACTAATGCGTTTGAAGCGAGCCATAGAAGAAAAACGACCAGAATGGGTGAATAGGCACAGTAAATTAATTCTTCAACATAACAATACTAAACTGCATACCGCCCAAGTTGTGAAAAGATATTTAGATGGACAGGACTGGTAAGTGCTACTCCACCCGCCATATTCGCCAGACATAGCTCCTTCAGATTACCACTTATTCCGCACACTGCAGTCAGATCTTACGGGAGAACGGTTCACTTCATACGAAAGTATCAAAATTTGGCTTGATAATTGGATCAGCTCAAAAGACCAGGATTTCTTCAGGCAAGGAATACGTAAATTACCTGAAAGATGGGCGACGGTTGTAGCTGCAGATCGAGCATACTTTCAATAAACTTTTCTTTAATTTTCTAAACAAGCAAATGTGTTTTATTTGAACAAAAAAGGGCGGAGTCATATTCACACACCCAATATGTCGGAAATAACAATGATACTTCTTATGGTATTTCATTCCATAGAGCTGGATGTTTTAGTCGATTGTTTAAATAATTCTCCAACGAATATTTCAAGTCCTTTCGGTTACACCCAGATGATCCTTCTCGGGTTTTACTCACAATACGCATTAAATTTTGTTTGCCATTTTCATCTCTCGTAAGCAAATCATTATATTCACTTACGAGAGCAAAACCTCTTTCAGCAATATCATTTGTGACCTAAAGAGATCGGACGATTTTGGAAGCTGCAACAAAATCATCTCTTGTCTCCCATGTCGTCGGGTCGCTACCAAGAAAACTGGAATCTATCTTCAAAATGTTGAAAAATTGAATCGTGTGTTTGGTAACTAATAAGTCCAGGCTCAATTTTTGCATCGATTCTAAATAATCGATTCTCATTCTTCTCCTTTTTCTATCATTATCAAGCGCAGGACGAGATTTGATAGCCTGACACATATTTCTCTTGCACTCTAAATCTACGTTTTCATTGAAAAAAGCGAGAGCAATCAATTCTTCCGGTAAATAGCAGAGGGGTTTCACAAACTTCTCCAATACAGCTTTCCAGACCTTTGATGGGACGCTGCTAGAACAATGCGCATCTGCTGCTAAACGTTTCAACAGATTTAAATAATTATTTGAAGCAGTCACTATATGCGAAGCTGTGAACCAGACCCTCTGGTACAGGAGGACGATGAAAATGCACGTGTTCATCAAGCCTGATATTTGGGAGAGGTTCAATCGGAATTGCTCTCTGAACGGGCAAATTTTCAATGAATAAATAGCTTTGGCCATCCACCGAGCATGATGAATGGGACCCAAGGCTCGAAATCGATTTCCTCTCAATTTTCCACCTAGGAAAATGACCACCAGTTCGAGGAATTCGCTATAGTCCCTATGGATTGTTTCATCCTGTAAAATGTACAGAATTACATGATATTCTTTCAATGACATACAAATTTACCATATCGGTGAAGGAGTTGAGAAAATATATTATAACTAACCTTCAAGTGCTCTTCAGCAAACGCGAGGATATCTGCCGATTCACAATGCAAGGCTTCTTTCACGGTGTTATCTTCCACTCTGGGTGAGTATTGTGTTTTATCCATGTTTTCCCACTCGTTTTGGAACCTCTTAAAAATCTGAACGTCAGGTCCAGAAGTACAGCCCATTGATACTTCGAAAGCTGTTTTCAGTAGAAGTTCAAAAATATGGTGACGGCAAGCTAAGTGCAAAAGATCCCTTCCAATTAACCTTTCGAGCAAAATGCATGCACCGCTGATAGGGCCGGTATTACTAGCAGTAGTGTCGAATACCATGGCGCATACATCATCGAGAACGTCCCACTCTTTCAAGCAACTGTATACCGCTTCCGCTTGCAACTGCCCAGATCCTCGTACAATTCCAGGGACACCAAGTAATTAATGCCATCCAAAACCCGATATCAGGACTGAGAGACGATCAATTTTTTCCTTTTTATCCTCCAGCATAGGTAGTTGTTTACCATCCCAGGGATCACTCACGACATGGCATGGCCTGTTCATTACATGATCTCGTATAGCATCATTTAGAGATTATTTTTTTACGATTTCGTCGAACCGTCTCCCGGCTTATATGGACATCTTCCAAATTCATTCTGGCTGCAATTAGGCTGGCTGCTAACACTCGCGCCGCCATTCGATCGCTAACTTTGGCTCGATCCAAAACTGCTGTGAGATCTTGGGTCATGATCTTTCTGAGTCCTTTGGATTTCTTAGATGACGGTGGAGCTTCATAGTTGGATTCCATTCCTTCACCGTCATCATCTTCGAACTCTACCTGCTTCAAAATTGCATCCCGGTCTTCTTCATCGTCATCAAAAACCTAATTGCCGAAGTCCATTGCAATTCCGTCTGATTGAACTTAAAAATCAAAAAGAGAATGGAAATTAATTAGATATCAGCACATGGAATTGGAAAATGTAAGGAAAGATGTTGTTTATCGGTTAAAATATTCCCGCATGCCTATTTTTTTCGATATGGTCAGGAAACTACATGGTGCATCGAAGGCTGGAGGTCGCTCTAAACTACGTATGAAAAATTTCATCACTTTTTACGGATACGGAAAACCGGGGCTAAATGGGATTGGGAAATACATGAAAAACAGTCTTATGTTGCACGGGTCTCCCCTTTTGAAAGAAGTCTGATTCTAAATTTTCAGCTATCTATCTCTCCTGGTGTACAACAAACACTGATATTGAGGTTTTTTATTAGAAACGTCTCTCAATTTTTTTATGGCTACTGGGTGGTTCCTATACGAAAATTATAAAATGTCTTTTTTGCAGAAAATGTTGAAAATTTCAGGAAAAAAATCAATATTCAAGTACCGTATTAACCCTCTCTCTAACCTACTCTAGGCAATTTCCGTAAGGATTCGCCGTCCCCACTCCATCGCCCAAATAGTGAGTTCGTTCGACTTTCATCAAAAAGGGTTAAACTAATCTAGAATAGATTTAACTAACAAATTGTCATTGACATTTTTTCTTTTCACAATGTAAATTTTCCTTTTTTAAAAAATTAACATAGCTCTCCAGCGATTAGTCATCAAAATGTGACGATGTGCTGAGCATTAGCATCTATAAAATTGAATTTCGAATTCGAAAAATTTCCACAAGCTTTTCACAGAAAGCTTTTGCTTCCTGTCGAAAATTCAGAGAATTTTCTCTCTGAAGTATATGGAGTTTTTTCCTGAGCTCCTGAGAGCCAATTGAGAATAAATTTTTCAAAAATTGGCTTCCTGTGCAGAAATGTATTGAATTCGAAATCCATTTGTATGAGTACTACTGCTTAGCACATCGTGGAATTTTGATGACTTATCAGAAAAAAGCCATATTTTGCAACAAAAAGGAACAAATATGAATTCCAGTAATTTAAATAATGAATCGATTTTCAACTTGCATAATACTGTTCCAGAGCATTTATATAATTTTTCCCGAAATTTTGCAAATTTTTCAAGGAAAAAGTTTTCTGTTTTTTCACTTGTGACGAAATGAGTTAATTTGTTCGTTTTTAACTCATGTTCACCTGCGACCTCGGCTAGTCTCGGTGAGCTCACGGGTGGTTCGCTCAATCGGAGGGATAAGTGAAGGATAGAGGGAGGGTTAACGATATTAAACCGACCGTGCTAATGTGGGTAAAATAATTATATATTAACTTCCTTTTATACACGGTAGTGTTTAATGGGTCGGTATAACGCGGTACTTGACTCGACTTTGGGACCTTGACTTGACTTGGTTCTTGGTTGGCTGAAGGCCTGAGCTCAGAGATCCGCTCTGTTTTGCTCCTGATCGTACTCTGACGTACTCTGGTGCTTCCCGAGTCGTCCAAACTCGTCAAAGTCCCAAAATGCTTACCTAAGCAATCCCACGGTTTTCTTCACTAATACGGTTTCGTGCATTCGTTTGTATAGAAACCTACACAGTCAAACAGTTCAGCACCCTGAACTGGACCTGTAGAAACCGTGGAACTGCTTACGCTGGTGTCCATGGGACACCGTGGGACTGCTGAGCAATCTTTGGATGAAGGGAATGAGAAACCTCGTTTCCCATTCCCATCGTCCACCACTTTGGGCATAATAATTATAATTATTAAATAAATCGACGTATTGATCGATCTCAATACGTCACA